GATCTCCGCACTAGGCAGAGGAACGCAGCCGTCTACGGCCGCATAGCGGCCACCAGGGCCAGGAAAGGCCACAGGCACATCCAGGAGCAGGTGCGCCTGAAAGTGAAGGAGCTGCAGCAGGCTTAAGCCAGGGCCACCAGGGACAGCACCACAGGAGGGGCTGCCACCTGCCCCTACTTCCCCGCCCTCAACCAAATCCTGAGGGGTGGGGCAGTCCACACCAGCCCGGGGGGGCAGCGAGCCGGGAGCTGAGGGCCCTGACCCGGGAGCTGCAGAGGGGCCACCACAAGCTGTCCCAGCACCAGAGTCGGCAGGGTTGTCCGGATAGGCCATACCAGGTAAGTACCAGCACTGTCCCCTACCTGGGCGGGGGGAGGCGAGGAGGGAGACCAGGGACTGTGAACGTGGGCCATGCCTCCCACGGATCACGCAGCCACCTGTGCACATGCGGCCACGTGCTGTGCCACCCTTGGCTCCAGCTGCATGCCACACAGGGGCTGTAGCCTGACAGCACTCATTTGTGTGAAGAGACTCGACACGTTCCCGACCTTGGAGCGGGACACAGCAAGGCGCCTTCCCGTCACACTCCCCCTCTACACAGGGGCAGGGGACATCTCCCCCTCGCCCCAGCCGCACTATACATAGCACAGGAGCACAGGTGCGGTCTCAGGGCAGCTCTCACTCCCGGGCAGAGCCGAACTTGCTGACGATGGCCTCTGTGAAAGCACATCGGCTCTGATGGTGCAGGGCATGGTCGCCCTCACCTCGCAGGAGGGGCCGGGCATCATCCACTGTGTCCCCAGGGACAACTGACCACTTCTCTTCATCCCCAGCTGCTCGTGCAGGGCGCACAACCCCACGCAGGAGATGCTCCTGCACCCGCAGCCTCAGCAGGACCACCACCACGCGGCAGGGGTACAGAGAGCAGCACCTGCAGGCCCTGCGAGCCCAGACCCAAGTCATGGAGCAGCAGGCGCAGGACAACCGGGAGTTCCAGCAGGAACTGCTTGCCCAGGGTCATGCCATCTGTCACCATCTGCAGGCTCTGCTGCCCCGTGCCAGTCCTGCGCCTGCTGTCCCCCAGCTACTGTTCCTCCTCCCACTCCTGCCCCCCTCCCACCTCTTCCTCCTCAACCGCCACACCCTCCTCCTCAATCTCCACACACACCCACATCATGCTCTGCACCTTCCTCCCCACCTCACTGGGGACGCTGCGGCCCCCTCCCCCGCGGTGCTGGGAGGCAGTTGGCCCAGCGAGACCTCCACCCCTGAGCACTGAGCTTCCCCTCCCCCTTCTTCCCCCTTCCAGCTCCCTCCTCCCAGTTTTCCCCCTCCCCTATTCCACCCTCTCTCCTGCCTCCTTTCCCCCATCTCCCCAGAGGTTTATCCCCCGCCCCCCAGTTGTGTTAAATAAAGACAGTTTCTATTTTTGAAAATACATGTATTTTATTTGACATCAGGAAGGGGGGGCTAGGGAAGGGTAAATGGAAGGATGAGAGGGAGGAATGGGGCATAAGCCCCCAGTGGGGCAGACCGGGGAGACTGTTAGCGCTCCTCAGGGTGGAAGCTCTCCCGCAGAGCCCCCTGGATCCTGACAGCCCCTCGATGGTCCTCCCGGATGGCAGCCTGCAGGCAGTGCAGCCAGGCTGCTGGCAACATGTCCACGAGATGCAGCAGAGTCCCCGGGGGTAGGTCTGGTTCCATGTTGCAGAGTGCCGTGATGTCCCGAGTGAGGGCAAGCAGAGCACTCCAAGACACAATTGCTTTGCTGTCCCTCAGCGAGGTAGACCAGCAAGCAGAGAAACCTGAGAACTGTCTGTCGGGGATGGGCGGTTGGGTCCCTTTAAGCACAGACCTCGGATAGCCTGAGGCAGTAGCCCCACACACTAAGTCTGACCCTGATGCCCTTTTGGCACTGGTTCTGGCCAGCCTTACCTTCGATTCAGGGCCCACTCAATGCGGACGTGCTATTTCAAATGAGAAAAATGCTATTTTGAATTAGTTTTTGTGTCTAGGTGTGTTATTTCAAATTAGCTTATTTCAAATTAACTAATTTGAAATAAGTTAATTCAAAATAGTGCTGTAGTGTAGACATACCCTAAGAGACAAGAGGACCTTCATAAGAAGGGTCCCTGAAGAGGGATGGAGGTAGTGTGTGTGTGTGGGGGGGGGGTAATGCTACAAAGGATATGGTGTAGCCTGATGACATGATCTCTAGGACCAGCAATCTGATGTGATGGTGGCCCAGCGGTGGTAAAATGGTCTCAGCCAATGGTGGAAGGTTGGGGTAGATTGATGGTGGTGACTCAGTAAGGGGAGGTCTTGCAAGTCCTCGTCCTGGAAGTCAAACCTGCTGTTTGCTTGTCTGCTGGCCCTGGTTACAGTTGTTCTGAGGTCGTTGCTTCTGTGGTTGTTGCTTCGGTCTGAATTGATCAAACCCCCATTGTTGGTATCTACGTCGGTACGGTGGGGTGCACATACCCAAGGTATGAAGGGTGGTTCTTGAATCTTTGAAAGTAGGAATAAGAAATCCTCCGGAAAAGGCTTTATTTTCCAGAGAATAACGTCTAGACTGGCGCTTTTCTCCGGCTTTTCCCCAAGCTGGAAAAAAGCGGCAGCCATGTTAATGCAAATGCCACGGGGGATATTTAAATCCCCCGTGGATTTGCCTATTCCAAAGTCTACATTAGCATCCCTTTTCCGGAAGGGATGCCAGTGTAGACGTAGCCTACTTGAAGAAGAACATGAGTTTTTGTGGGTAAAACCCACTTCGTGAGATGAGTTGTCTTTGGAAGGTCATATAGTTCTGGTGAGGGTACTTTAGGAAGCATTGCTGATGGTGATGGAGATCACCTCTTTTTTTTTTTAGGCATGAGAAGAGGCTCTGGTCTGAGACCCATCAGAAGATGGGGCCTCAATATATCCAGTACAGCAAGTAGTACTGCTACTGGTCAAACTGGGGGTATCCCATCCATTCCCAGTCCTGCACTGGGGCTCTGTACTACATACCTTGCAGATACTGTCCTTTCCTCTTGTGCAATGGTTCCTTGCCTGAAGCGGGAGAGAAGGAATGGCCTGGTGATGAGGAGGGGAAAATAGCTTTCTGGAAAAAAAACGTACTAATCTATATGGTATCTGGCACTGATGTTTGTGGAGTTGATGACAATGTCAGTACTGGTGTCTGGGCTGGTTCTGGCACCAAGAGGAGTGGGAAGGGAAGCTTTTTGATGGAGTACCTTGATATCAAGAAGGGTTCTGGTTCCATGATCAGTAATGGAGTAATTCACTGTATCAATTTCAGTACCAGTGCAACCATATCTGGCCTCTTTGGTCTCACTGCTAGTGCCATGACACTGTATGCCTTATCAATGTTGAGAATTCCAAGGGGTTCTGTCTAGGTCTTGAGTCCTCCCTGAAGAAACTGACTTTGATACCAGTTGATTGCTGTGTTGGTGCTTGGTGGTGGAGCATCTTTCCATCTCAGAAATGTCTCCCTGTCCTGAAGACAACGTCAGTGAAGTCAGTAGTAAAGTTGTTATTAACATCTGTACTGTTTGTCTTCTCTTCCTCCTTGGAACCAGAGATGTGGTGCCTGATAGAACATAATCTCCTCACTTCTAGTGTTCCTGGATCAGAAGTAATCTTCCTGGATATATCATAAAAGGTACAATTTGAGCCTCATGCCTTCAGATTTCCAGGTATGGTTTGAAAAGGAGTGGCATATGGAACATTTGTTAGCCTTATCCAAGGCAAAACAGACTGGAAGCTGGGGCTAGACAAATTTAGACTGAAACGAGGTATACATTTTTTTAACAGTGAGGGTAATTAACCACTGGAACAATTTATCAAAGGTTGCGGTAGAATTTCTCTCACTGGCAATTTTAAAATCATATTCAGATTTTTTAACAAAAAGATCTTTTCAATTTTAAATGTAATTAGTTTGAGAAAGTTCTATGGCCTGTGTTGTACAGGAGGTCAAAGCAGATAACAGTGGTCCCTTTTGGCCTTGGAATATATGAATCTGCTATGTCATCTATGAGAGTCAGGAAAGCATAATTGGAAGGACACACATTAAACTTAGTGGGTTTTGAGCATGCCATAGTTTGAGATTAGCACAAAGCACCCTATCTATCTGCTGTACGGGAGGGAGGGTCTCCCTCATGTTTGTCCTAGTTGCTTGTTCTTTCTTTTTTTCATGAATACTCAACAAAAAAAAGTCTAAGATGAAGGATCTAATTAAAAGGAGAAGTGCAGAAGAGTTTCTTCACTGGAAAAGTGTTCGGAAACCAGGAGCAGGTTGGACAAATTGTAGGCCTGTCACGCTGCCACAGATAGTAAGAGGGAACAGAAGAGGGATCAGGGCCTCTCCTTCCTTCATGCCTTCGCACAAGAGCATGAAGTAGTACATGGATGTATCCATGGCCCTGTCAGATGTTGCTATTCAAAAGATTCCATGCTTGCATGCCTGAGCACCTGCCCAAGGATTCACGCTGACACATACTCCAAGAATTGCTTCTTTTCATACAGTAAGGGCCTAAAATCACCGAGGCTCAGAACTCCTCCATACCTCTATTCTTATTGAATTAAGCTGGAAGTTAAGAGCACTATCTTTCAAAGGAATGCCTTAGCACCTTCCAGAATGAGATTCTTTTACATAAATAATCAGTGTTCATTCCGACTATAGTTGTAATGTATTTATTTGTCATTCCTATATGTAAACAATCTATTTTAAATTATTTTTAAATGAATATTATGAACTATTATTGTATAACTGGTTTGAGATTCTTCTATTTGTTATCATGATTTGTACTTTGAATTAGAGAAGGCCTAAAAAAGTTTCATCATCTACACTGAACAAAAGGGAATCAATTGACTGACATCTTCAATAACTGTCCAATAATAATTTCACATAATCTAAAAATCTGATAGAGAGCCATTTTCACTGTACACAAGTATGAACATTTAACCATACAGAACATCAATGCCATCTATTAATTTACCTCTAATGTTTCATCCTGGGAATTATACTGTGGGCAAAGTCTGATAAGGCTTGCTGCTCCATCTAGTACTTCACAAAGTTCCTTTAAAAATACACCACAGAATGGAACTACTTTACAGCCTGGAATATTCAGGGCACGATTTACAACTTTTCGGTATTCAGAGGATGATTCATGTTGCGCCATAGCATCCTTCAGACTTCGCATGGTTTCAATATCAGACTGATCCATGAACTGCCACATTTTTAAAACTTTTCTAGACCTATTGCAAATAGACAACAAAACATATATACAAAATTTAAAAAAATAGTTTAAAGTTTAACATCAGCAGTCCGTCTCTTCTATTAGAGAAAATCAGCCTTACTTTCATTGGCATTATTCTAAAATAAATGAGACAAATTCAGTTGGGTATGCCTAGAAAACAGCATTTTTTTTCTTTTTGAATAATTGAATACCAAAATGAATGTGCAAAGCTGAATAATGAGATCTAGATATTGCTAAAGTTACAGCTGGGATTTTCAACAGAACCTAATGAATTAGACTGGGAAGGAAAAGGGGAAATCTCTTACATTTATCTTGTTAACACTGCCTTAAAATAAAGACTATTGATTGGAAATCAGAGATAGTTAAAGGAACAATAGGATAAGACTCGTCTGTATATAACATTTCCTCTCTCTTTTGCATTATTAGTAATCCTTTAAATAATCAAGAGTTAAATAATTTCCAAAACTGATTTTAAATCATTGATATTATTACATTTTTGCATTTCACTCAGATTGGACAATGAAAATAAACTATAAAATATTTCACTTTTGTTTCTAGTTAGTTTCAAAGACTGTGTTGTAGATGCTCAAAGGAATGTTTATATCAAACAACAGCATGGTTTTAGAACTGCAGAAGAGAAGGCACTTCTAGAAGGCACTTCTAGAAACTTCCCCATTCTGAACGACCATGTTTGGGCAGAGCTATGGCTATTCTATCCTTCCTCAACTTGTACACCAGCAGTGCTACAGGACTGCTAACTAGAAGATATCTCTCTCCATACTATCTCCTTGTCCACCGTATAATGCCAGCAAACACTGGTGCTCTGAAACTACTCTTCCCCCTCCCTCCACCTTTCACTCATGCAGTGCATTCACAGAAGGCATAATTAAATTCTTATTATAGTTTTGACTTTCCATAAATAGGCTGGCTTGTCATAGAACAACCATTCAAAGCCTTCTCAGGCTTGCATGGCCTGGGAAGCCGTGGATGTGTTCTGCTGGACAAGGCCTCTTATGTTGTGAGTGTTCCGAATGTGTCTCATACATTAAAAATGTAAACTAACACCACAATGAGTGTGCTTATTAAACCACAAAAAGCTGCAGTAAAAACACATTAAAGTTTGCTATGCAAACTTAAAATACAAGGAAAGTCAGAGTTAAGAGGCTAGAACTTTAGACTTAAACTCTTCCTACTACAGAATAATTCACTATAGTGACTTCAATCTCCATATTTCAAGTGTCCATGCTGATGACTCGGATTCCCCATAGACAGAGGAAGCAGCATGGAGCGATCAGAGGGAGCCGGTCTGCATGGGAAGCTGGTTTTTAAACTGGCTGATAGAGAGGCAACTGTGCAGGATGGCAAGGGGCTCCCCGGAAGTGGGGCCGGGAGCTCATTGGCTACTGGCCCCGCCTCCAGGGATTATCGAGTAGTTGTGTAACTGCTAAAAATTGATGTCGTTACATGATTATTCAGTTACATGCTAACATCGCTATATGTAAGGAAGTCGCTGTATTTGACATTTATTTTTTACCCTAAGTTATAATCAGAATGATTACTTTAACAATTACAATTTTACTACCCTTTTTATTGAAACTTCAACCCTAAAATTATAGGGTTGTAGTGGGTTTGACAGATATAATAGAACTGCTTTTACAGTTTTCTTTTCTCATTTAAAACAGCTATTTGAAAAATGTAGGCCGAGGTTTCAATTTAACATATTTAGCATGTACCAAGACAGATGATGTTGTCTCTAGAGCATTCTGAGAAAATGTCTGTCTTTTACCATGTTTAATTTTTGCAGAATGATTATGAGAAATTCAAAAGATGAAATTATGTGACTAAGCAACAGAATACTATATAGCAGAGTGATTGATTCAATGCCACAACCCGTTCTTCAGAGAGGAATAATGAATGACAGAAGCTTTATCGCTCTCTAAAAATGAGTTACCAGTACCTAAGCCCCGCCAAGAATTCCATTACAGCATTGTAGTTTCCCATGTTCCAGCAGCATTTTGCCACATGTACTAAATATGAGAAGACTTCTCGTTTCTCCTCCATAGAGCCGGCAGTAAGGATCAGCCATGTAACCCATGAGCTCACCTAATAAAACAAAATGTACAATATAAGAAATCAGCTGTGGCTATGTTATTTGGAACAAACACATTTAATGCCATAGAATCAATGTATTTTAATCTTCATTTGTTTCTATGGGGGGGGGGGGAGAGAATTAGGTATTTCACCAAAGTTTGTATATATGTCAACACACACAAAAATCATATTATCACATATATTCTATATGTATATAGATATCGCACATGCATATATGCAAAGTATTTGAATCTCAAAATGCTTTTAAAGTTATCTTTCTATATATATAACAATATTTTCTTTCGGGGTGACAAAGCGACGTCACCATGTCAGTCTGCATCGCCCTACCCCCTAGCCTCAGCAGAATCCCCAGAAGAGGAAGAGCCAGCCATAGCTCCAGGACCCCTCCCCCCCACTCCTCCTCAAGAAGGGTCCTGGGCTCCACACTGGTCCCTGGCTCTCTTGCAGGAGGGCTAGGTAGTGTTGGGAGCAGCTCCTCCCTGAGCTTGGGGCCCCAACACTCCAGGACTCAGTGGGGAACCACTGCCTCCAGATGCTTTGGGCCAGGCACACCAGCCTTGGCCTCCCCACAAATTGAGAGTACCAGCATTGGCTTTCTGTGGAGCAGGTAGAAGAGGAGGAAATCCTGAAGCTCTATGCTTGATCCAACTTATAGGGAAGTGCATGTGCTGCTGTGCTGTGCACTTCCCCACAAGCAGGTTCTAGCGGCCGAGGGTGGCCAAGAGGTTGGGGCTTGAATGGCCCCAGCAGCCAGGGAGGGGCTGAGAGTAGGGTTGCCAGATGGCTGAAAGAAAAATACCGAACACCCCCGCCCTCAAAAAAACCCCAAACCACCAGGAAAAAATTTTGTTGAAGGAAAGAAAAGAGAGGGGGC